TGCGCACACTTCAAGACGAAAGAGCTATCCCACAGAGCGGGATAGAACACGCAGGCAGCCCCTGGTCCATCGGCCACGCGGCCGAGATAAGCTACACGCCATGATGCTTACATTGCTAGATGTGTGACGCAGTGAGGCTGTTGTAAATTTCGACCATCAGAACCAAGTAACGCATGGGTAAAATGCGGGACGAGACGCTGCCATTTGCCCTTGCTCACTCTGCAGTGCTTCTGGCAGTCCGCGTCTGGAGTACCTTGCGGGGGGGGCAGGCCAGCGCAGCCGTCCTCAGCCGACCGCACGGCTCTGAGCACGCTCGCCCGCTGCGCCTCCGCGCAGCGCCCGACGGACGGCAGCGGCAACGCATCTGCGGCCCGGAGCCTCACCGAGTTGGCGGGGACCGCCTGTGCGCCGCCAGCTCGCACCGTCGCCCCGGCAACCGTGCAGCCGAGGCCCCCGCGCGCTCCCGCGCGTCACGCCGCGCGCGCGCACGCCATGAAGCTGCACGCGCAAGCCTGCGCGCTGGGCGCCACCTGCGCGCCCAGTGTTCGTGCGCACTCAGCCCAGGGCGCGGCAACCGCCAGTGCGCGGATGCGGAGCTACGGCATCGCGTAGAAGGTGCGCATCACCCTACCTGAAGTTCTTCAGCCGCGCGGTAGCAAGTACCACCGCAGCCGCCAGTCACCACCTGGGACGGGAACTGGCCAACGCCGCCAGGAGCGACCTGTTAGCAACAGTACTTGCTGCACCAAGCTCTCCCTCCTTGAGCCGACTTGGATTGGTACGATGGTCAAGGGCTCCCTCGAGGGCGCGAAGTTATTCGCGCTTCGCGCTTCGCGGTCCTCGTTCCTTCTCCTCCTCCTCCTCGTCCTCCTTTTCTCCCTGTGGGGGGGCGGCGCGAGAGCGCGAAGTTATTCGCGCTTCGCGCTTCGCGCAGCGCGAAGCGCGAAGTTGGGAGCCCTAGCTTGAGCCGACTTGGATTGGTACGATGGTATTGTCTATGTAGATGATGTGCTGTCGTTCTCGCCATCGCGCGCGCCGACGCTGTGCGCCAGCATGCGCCTGATACCCTTTCCTGGTTGAACCTCAGCCCGGCCTGAGCACCAGCCTACGGTAGGTTTGCGTGGTGTCGACCAGCGGCGACCCCAGCGCGGGCGTTCAAGGTTGAACGCCGCCGGCGACCCAGAATCGATCGATGTTGAACGATCGGACGTTGCGGCAGCGGCCGATCGTTCAAGGTTGAACGATCCCCGCGGTGTCAGAAACCAACGCCGGGGTCGACACGACGCGAACCTGCCGTACAATTTGCGAGCCGAGCGCGGGCTCAACTTCTGGACGATTCGCACGAAGCAAAACGTGAGCCATCACGATCACGGGCCGCTCTAGCGCAGATGGGCGGATTCCGTGGAAACGGCAAGTGCGTCTCGCGCGCACAGCACGGCTCGCCCTGCGCTGATCAAGCTCAGGAGCTGCACATTCGTGCGGCTCTGGCACCAAACGCGCGTCGGACGGCCCTGGCGCGAGTCACGCGCCTGGCAGCCCCAACGCGGGCCACGACGCACCACGCAACCATCGCGCCACCCGGGCTCAGAGCCACCACGCAGCGCGGCCCGGAACGCAATTTTTACCAGGCATGCATCCACGCACGCGCAATGCACGCACATGCAGCACACGATGTGCGAAGGAGACGTCGCCAGCGGCTTCTGCCTGGACGTTTGCCTAGAGGACGAGCGGGCCACCGGCCGCGCGCGGATGTCCGGGCACGTCACGGTCGTTCTGGCCAGGACCGATACACAGCCCAGGCAACCTCCAGCGGCCAGCGCCGCGGTCGTGGGCATGGAGGCCACTGCGTGCGCCAGGGAGTTGTCCAACTCGCAGGCAGACTTCTCTGCTCATTCCGCAGCCGCCTCGCCGAGAGAGCTTCGGGGCGCTGGAACTGTCCCGAACTGCGGCCTGGGCACGAGTCATGAGGCTCTCTGCAGATACAGTCGAGCACCATGATGCGTCGCTTCGCCGTGGACGCCGACGTGTCGATAACCGACCGCCACGTGGCCACTGGTTCCCTCGCGGATAGGCGACAACCTGCAGGTGCTCCACTGCCCAGACGGCCCCAACGGATATGGACATGTCCACGTCCGCCTCCACTGGAATTTACGTCGGCCCGATGTCGGCCTCCACGCCACGATCGTCGAGGAGGATATCTCGACCGCCACGCTGTTGCACCTGAAGGTGGGCCTGATGAGCGGACGGGACCTCGTGACCATCAGCTGCGTCATCACGACTAGCAAGTTCAACCTCATGAGATTCGTGGTCACTTTTGCTGAGCGTCAACATCATCCACCTCTGCCACTTTCTCTACAGCGTCCGTGAGACGGAGAGAAACATCAGCGTCATCAGCAAGGCGAAGTCATTTCGTCATCGCCATGACGCTGGACCAGAAAGTCCAGTGCGGTTCAGTACGTGTGCCACATGGATGCCCAGTGGCGCCGCCACAGGAGCAACTTGCAGGTACCCCGCGACGTACTGACTTCCACCTGCGCGAAGCGGGTCTGCTTTCAGCCACCTCATGTGCGTCTTGCGCGTCGCACATTCAGGCCGAGGCAATCACGGAGCAGAACTTCAAGATGCTAGGGCAGTTGTCGACCGATGCCTCCTCACCAACGCGAACTTCGTCTACAAGAGCATCAAGAGCGAGCGTATACAGATGGCAGCGGACCACGAAGCGTTCGTAACCTGCCAGCACGCCGCGCTCAAAGACATCGCGGACGCTACGAAGATCTTGGGCGACACCACCTCCACGGCCGCGTCGCGGATCTACAGCGTCATGCAACTTTCAAGTTACCGCTCGCAGACGCGAACGTCCGTGCGCCTGCAGAAACTGGAAGCCAGCTCCGTGGTTCGGCAGTTCACCAGGAGGCGTCACCCCTTTGACTTCACGCCGCCCAAGTCGCACTTGCAGACGGCGATGCGTCTTGGTACCACTGCCGACGAGGACCCTGTCGTGAAGGAGGGGCATCATCACCGCCATCAGAGCGATGCTGAACTCGAAGATCTCCGAATCCGCCGAGGATGGGTCCAGCGCGCCAGGGCAGCTTCAGTGCACGGCGGTGCCCGGCCTTGGAGAGTTCATCCCGCACCTACTCCTCACCCGTCGCTCCTGCGTCAGCTCCTGGAGGGAGCACTTCCTCGCCGACAGCGGTCTGGCGGCGTGGCCGCCCATCGGGGGCGGCGAGCGCGGCGCGGCGCTGCGTTGCCCGACGCGCGCCTGCGCACCGCTCCTATGCTGCGTCACGCCGGCCCCCCCGCACGGGACGGTGGCACGCTGGCGCGTCGACGCGCGCGGCAGTGCCCGCCCCGGGGCCCCGCCGGCAAGGTCACGCCCTGAGTCGCTCAACGCGCGGCGTTAGCCACCAGGAGGAGGAGGAGGAGGAGGAGGAGGAGGAGGAGGAGGAGGAGGAGGAGGAGGAGGAGGAGGGGGGGGGCGGGGACGAGGAGGAGGAGAGCTCGACAGCGCCACTCAGACCGACACGGCGTTTGTGGTTGCACGCGACTCCACCTCTTGGGCAAGTGCAGCTGGCCGAGCCAGCCCCGCCGCGCGGCTGCCAGGATCGCGGACCCCGCCGCGCCGGCAAAGGATCGATCGGACATGTCCGTGCCTCCACCTGGCACAGCATCTCCTCCTGGACGCGCTGTGCAGCATGGAGTGCACGCGCGCCTTGACGGCCACGCAGCGCGCCGATGGGCTCGAACGTGTCTGAGCCCGATGCGCCGCCCACAGGGCATTTGGCGACTGAGCTACGACGAGTACCGTGAGGCCAGCCGGCCTCCTCGTCATCTGCAAGGGCTGATTTGTCTCTCTGTAGATTGGCGCCACGGGACCTTCAACATGACGATCATCTTCATCGCGAAGCTCTGGCGGGCACAACGCGCCAGGCACTCGACACATGCTACGTGCAAGTGCCCGGCCGTGGCATTGAAGCACCGCCTGCACTACGAGGTGCAAGCACGGCAACACGCCACCACAGAGGTCAGTGCTGCCGACGCTGGGACACCGACGACCAACCAAGGTATGCACCTGCGACGCTGCGCTGCTGTTGGCTGCATTCAGACAGCACTCGCCGGGTTGGTGCCGCTCGGCGTTCACCAGACCAACACACGGACCAGGCAACAGCCGTGATTGGTAAGCGCTAGCAGCGAGAGACACACTGCCACAAACAGCTGGACGAGAAGTGTCTGCGCGCCTACGAAGCAATGCGCGCGGGTGCTCTCCAGCCACGCAGCCGCGCAAGCGCCACCGCAGCCAGCTACGCCCGCTGGCACCTACTCAGCAAAGAGTGCCGACGGCGAGCGGCCATTCCAGCAGTGTGCTGGAAGCAGAGCCAGGGAGCTAACCTGGTTGGAAGGCACGATCAGTGCTGCGGCTCGGGCGCACGCCAGGTACGATCTGGGCCAGGCCCCCACGAGCAGCACCCTGCACCCTGCTGTCAGGCAACATCGGCCGCTCGACACCACATCGGGTAAGGAGCCTGTCTTTAGACTTTCCCTGCCGTGGGGTGCTGCTACGATTCACGACCCTGGTCATGGTCAGCTCATCTCGCGTACGAGTTAACCACAGGCGAGCCGACTGGGCTCCCCAGATTTCTCGATATCCCGTTCGGGTTGAGGCTCCTGAGCCATGGGTGAGTTGTGCCGGGCGTCCACTGCGACGGCCGCGCGGTGAACGCTCTGGCACTTCATTGCGGGTGGCCCTCTGTGGCCGAGGTGCTGCGAGGAGACGGTCTCCATTGCCGGGTAGCCCCGACTCGACTCGGATCGCGTGTGCGCGCCCGCTGCCATTCTGGCTTGCAGCGCGCACGCGGACTAGTACATTGAGAGGGACAAGGACCGTCGCTATGCTCTTGCCATTGCCGCCATGTCTGTTACCTCTCACCCATGCGACCCGCAATTATAATTCCTCCTTCTCCCCCCTCCTCCTCCTGGGAGGGCGATGCGCCCAGCAGCAGGACTCTGCCCTGGGCTGCGGCGGAGCGGCGGCGTTCGAGGGCGCCGCTTCGGACCACGGGCTCACGGACGCGCCGCCCGCCCTGGCCAGGGGGGCGGGAGGAGGAGGAGGAGGAGAAGGAGGAAGAGGAGGAAGAGGAGGAGGACTTTAGGAGGAGGAAGAGGAGGAGGAGGGAGAGGAGAGGAGGAGGTGGAGGAGGAGGAGGAGGAGGAGGAGGAGGAGGAAAAGGAGGAGGAGGAGGAGGAGGGACGACGACGACGATGACGAGGAGGAGGAGGAGAGGAGGAGGGGGGGAAGGAGAGGGGTGCGACGGAGGAGGAGGAGGAGGAGAGGAGGAGGAGGAGGAGGAGGAGGAGGAAGGAAAGGAGGAGGAGGAGGAGGAGGAGAGGAGGAGGAGGAGGAGGAGGACGGGGGAAAAGGGGGAGGAGAGGGAGGAGGGAAGGAGGAGGAAAAGGAGGAGAGGGGGCGGGAGGGGGGGGGGAGAGGGAGGACGGGGGGGGGAGGGGGAGGAGGTAGAGGTGGAGGAGGAGGAGGAGGAGGGGAGGAGGAGGGAGGGAGAAGGGGGGGGAGGAGGGGGGATCGGGCGGGAGGGGAGGGAAGGGGGGGGGGGGGGTGGAAATCACGCGGGATGGCATGATTCGGAGGCAGCCAGGAGGTTTTGTTGGACAAGGTCGGTTTCGCTTGATGTGGGGCCCCCCCAACTGGACCTGAGGCCCCCCATCTCGACTTGAGGCCCCCAGAAGCCGTCGAAATCACCCTTCTTGAACCAGACCTTCTCGCCGTTCCCGAATGATGCTATCAGTGCAGGCAGCGCCTGTTGGCTTTCGTGCAAAAGTCACGACCGTAGGTTTTCGGCCTCATGCGGCCTCCCAGGGGCCTTCACCTGGCTCTGGGACTGGCAAAGAGAGACTCCAGATGAAAAACGAGTCCCGGGACAGGGGTCCAGACCTTTGGGGGCTCACGCCGTGAACAAAACATTACGTTGGAGTGTCCCGTCTGCTCACCAACCCGTTCCCGCAGATCTGAAGGTCTAGCGCGCGTGGCGTATCCCATGTCTGGCCAGTTGCGGCCGCTGTGGACCTACTCCAGGTCGCGCCGTGCACCCGTAAGACATGTTTCGAAGCTTCAGGCAGAAGCAGTGCTTGCCAGAGAGTTCTGCACGAGAGAGGTCTGTGGCTGCCCATACAGAATCCACGCAGGTTTCTATCGCCAATCATCCCGCCACCGTGCCAGCCCAATCTTCTGGGAGACGATTGTTCGATGGGGCACGGGAGGCCGTCACGTGTGACACCTCGTGTATCCAGGCTTGGGAGAGCCGTGATGAGGATGATGTGTATGTGGAAGGTGGGGGTGATGGCGATGATGTTGATGATTATGATGATGATGGTGATGATGATGCTGATGCTGATGCTGATGCCGATGATGTGATGATGATGGTAGTGATGATGATGACGATGATGTTGATGCTGCTGTTGATGATGCTGATGCTGATGCTGATGATGGTGATGCTGATGGTGGTGGTGGTGACAGCGATGTCAGTGATACTAACAACTGTGATGATGGTGATGATGATAACGACGACGAGTACGTCGACAATGATGATGATGATGACAGTAACGTAAATCAAGATTGTGATTATGTTGATGGTGGCGATGTTGATGAGTTGATCCTGGTGATGGAGATGCTGATAATGTCGATGGCGGTGAAGATCATGATGCCAATGATGACGAAGTTCATGTTGATTATGATATTGACGATGATGATGATAGTAATGATGCTGACGACGACGATGATGCTTGTGGCGATGGTGATGGTGATGCTGATGATGCTGGTGATGGTGATGAGTACGATGACGATGCTTATGTTGATGATGATGATGATGATGATGGTGATGAGGATGGTAATGATGGTGGTGCTGGTGATGATGTTGATGTTGATGATGATGGCTGTGATGTCGGTGATGAGCATCAAGACGATGCTGCTATTGATGTCGATGATGATTATGCTAATGCTGATGCTGGTGGTGCTGGTGATGATGGTGATGATGCTGATGCTGGTGAACATGAGGATGAGGATAAGGATGTGGATGATAATGATGACGATGACGGTGATGATGATGCTGATGATGCTGCTGATGATGATGATGATGCTGATGCTGATGCTGATGAAGATGCTGTTCATGATCATGATGAGGGTGATGAGGATGAGGATGAGGATGCTGAGGATGATGATGATGATGATGATGATAAAACTCGATTAAACTCTTGAGGCTGTCTTGGCCTCCTGTGAGGCAGTCTTGGGGGTTCCTTGGGGCCCTCTTGGGCTGCCTTGGGGCCCTCTTACGCTACGCCAGCTTCGGGCTTTCTCGCCATGTCGGGGCCCTCTTGGCCGTATGGTGGGTGTCTGGGGGCCGTCATGGGGCATTTTTGGCGCCATCTTGAGCCGTCGAAGGGCCTTCTGAGGCCGTCTTGGGTCCCATGGGAGGTCCTCTTGGGCCGTCTAGGGGCCGTCTTGGATGCCTCTTGGGCCACCGTGGAGTCCTTTTGGGCCGTCTGGAGCTGACGGCATCCCAAAAAAAGCGAGAATGCGAACATCATTCAAACACCCAAGGGAAATCAATCAGTTCGGCTTCTTCGGACCCTGTTGGAAGTCCTCTTGTGGCCATTTGGGCCCTCTTGGAGGCATCTTCGGCCGTCTTGGACCAATATTCGGCCGCCTTGAGGCCACCTTGGGACCTCTTCGAGGCATCTTGGGCCATCTTGGTGTCCTCGGTTGCCTGCACGGGCCGTCTTTGAAGCTCGGGACGCAGATCCATCGTTTGTAACGGGAGATCGTTGTTTGGGAGGCCTTGATGCGCTTGGGAGCAGCGGCTGGGAATGCGGGAAGGGCAGGGCTCTCGAGCGGGTGCGCGTGGGATGAGGGGCCCAGGAGTTAGCAGCCACGCGGGAAGTGCACCATCCTCGAGCAGGCACGCATGAAATGTGAAATGAGTAGAGGGTCACATGCGAACCCTACCCCTACCCCCCACGATTTCTGAGGGGGAGGGTGGGGTTCACTTCGCTCGGGAGCTCCCGAACAAAGTGAACCCCACCCTCCCCCTCAGAAATCGTGGGGGGTAGGGGTAGGGTTCGCATGTGGCCCCCTAATGAGGGTTCAGGCATTAATTGCCACACGGGAAGAACCCCATCCTCGAGCGGGCACGCCTGGGATGGGGGTTCGGGCATCAGCTGCCACTCGGAGAGTGCACCGTCCCCGAGCGGGCACGCATGGAATGAGGGTTTAGGCCTTAGCTGTCATGCTGGAGGTGCACCGTCCTCGAGCGGGCACGAGGGAAGTGGCTTCGGTGAGTGTGGGGAGATGCACGCAACAGTTCGCAAGTAGAGGGAGGGGCGTAGATTTCAAAAACCCTGCCAGGCACACCTTGGCACTCTTCCACGCCTCAACGCGCCGGGGGGCACGGTGGCGGATATTTCCGCTCAGCATTCCTTCGGTAGACATTCGGCAAGCATCTGGTGCGTGCGAGTGTGCGGCACGCTCGTCGCAAGTGCTCAGCGCCGGCCGTGCTTCAAGACTTGGTGGCCAGGGCTCTGACTTCTGGGCAGCGGGAACCAAGGGAGTTGACCGGCGACGGCCCGCAGTCCCCTCATTCCTCCTTGTACTGTCCTTTCTTCCTCCTCCTCCTCCTCATTCCTCCTCCTCCTCCTCCTCCTCCTCCTCCTCCTCCTCGGCAGTCCACTCATTCCTCCTTGTACTGTTCTTTCCTCCTCCTCCTCCTCCTCCTCCTCCTCCTCCTCCTCATCGTCATCCTCATCCTCTTTTTCCCCCTTGGTCCCCTGCCTCCCCCTTGTCCACTGACTACCCTGCGGATGCACGATCTCCAGAAGCGGATCGGCGCAGCCAAGCAGGGCGGCCCTGCCCGACGGAAGTCGAGCTCCTCCCTGTGGCCAACCTTCTGCCGACGTTCACGACCGACGGGGCTACTGTTGAGTCGGGCCTGTCCCTCGACAGGGGGGGAAATTCAAAAATAGTCGAAAGATAGTCTGGGGACTATGTTCTTTTCAATATGTCATGGCAATGTTTCAAATATTGTTCGAGCATGTTTTGTTCTTCGTCGAAGATCGGCCTGCAGGAGGGCATGCCCGACCTAAGGCTGCTGGCGCAGGCGAGACTGGCGAGGACTGGGGAAGTGAGGAGGACTGTCGGGCGGACGATTGAAACATGTGTTGGCGCGGGTGTATTCAGGAGGGGACAAAAAAACACACACAGACACAATTCATCGTCGATTCCCCGGGAAAGATTGGAAACTATGGCGGGGAAGAACCCCGAAAATATGGGAACCTATGGGACATCTTGGGATTGTTGTGTGTTTATGTGTGTGTGTGTGTGTCCTTGGGCCCCTTGATGTATGCCAGGTCAGTTGCCTCTCTGCTTGGCCTGGGGTGCGCCTGCGTCGCTGGGTGCAGCTCGGCCCCTCGGGCGTGGCCAGTCGGGTCCCAAACGTGTCCCCGCCCTCTCCTCCGCCTCCTCCTTCCATGCACACTGTTCATGTCTACGTCTTCGAAAGTTCTGTCATTTTTCGGGGGCCAGGATCCTTTCATTTCCAATTGTTCTATCCTGGGCCTCGTCCTGGCCACTGGGGGGCCAGGAACAATTAGAAACGAGAACAATTAGGAATGAGCACGATTAGAAATGAAAGACGTGTACAGCACCGCAGCTCCTCACCCGCCGCATCCGCCATCGTCTGCCCTCGCTCCCTCCCAGCTGGCCCCAGCAACAGTTACACGACAACATCCGAACTTGCAGGCGACCCGTTTCGATTTGACCCGTTGGCGCAGTTCATTGAGTTTTGGAGCGATTGCGACCAGTTTGATTTAACTCGTAACGCGTTCAATTCGGCGCGCTAAAAAGAGGAACTGTGCCAGGCACCAGCCTTCCTGGAAGTGCGAGCTCGGGGCAGGCGCTTGGTACAGCTCCACGTAGCGTGCGGTGATCATTCGGGGAGCCTCATCAGTGGAGTCGTGTCTCCCCCCCTTCGAAGATCTCTGGAGGCCCCTGGAGGCCCACACAGGTCTCAAACGTTACAACATGCCAGAAGACATTCCGAAACCTCGGCCCTCCTCGACCCAGAAAAAAGGAAGGGGAGCTCCCCCTTCCCTCCTCTCCCACCCTCCTCCCTTCGCGCGATCAAGTTTGGTCTCGCAGCCGCCCGATGGAGACAGGAGGAGGAGGAGGAGGAACAATGACGAGGAGTAGGATCGCGAGGACGACGAGGAGGAGCCGGAGGGGGGGGGGGGGAGGGGGAGGGGGAGGAGAGAGGAGGAGAGTTGATGTCATTGGAAGATGTGAGGTCGCTGCACTTTCGGCTGTGGGCGGTATGCACGGTGAGCGGGCGAAGGCAGTTCCCGGCGCTTGGAGGCGAGGACGTGCCGATAGTGTTCGGGACGTGTTTGTAACCCACGCCCTGCTGGCGTGCGTTGGCACCTCCGCACTTCGCAGGGAGCTCCAGCAGCGTGCCCCAGTGCCCACCCTCGGGTCCACAAGGGCAGCACTAGGTGCATTTGTATCGGGCCCACGCGTGGGCCAGACCGCGTCCGCTCCGTGACGCGCGCGCTGTCACTGTACGTGACGGGATGGTGAAGGGGCACGCCACTTGTAAGTCGGGCGTGTCCCTCTACAGGGGAAATACCCAAAGATAATCGAAAAATAGTCTGGGGACGATCTTTCGAGCATTTTTGAACATTTTGGGATCATTGTTTGGCATTTTTTTTTTCGTCCGAAATCCCCCTGTAGAGGGGGACAGGCCCGACCTAACACCATACGTGACGGGGGTGGTGAAGGGGCACGCCAATTTGGAGCGGCTGGGCACAGCACCCGGCAGGGCCGGCGAGCGAAAGGCTCCGCCCTTAGGTCCCGCCCTGCGCGTCGCCGCGCGCGGCGAGGCGCGTGCTGTAGGGGTCGCGCCTGCGGGAAACGAGAAGCGAGGAAGGAGAGGGGGCGATGGTCGGTATCGTTTGACCGATGGCGAGGACGAGGAGGAGGAGGAGGAGGAGGAGGAGGAGGAGGAGGAGAAGGAAAAGGAGGAGGAGGAGGAGGAGGAGGAGGAGGAGGGGGAGGAGGACGACTGGGGTAGGAGGATGAGGGCGAGGACGAGGGGGAGGAGGAGGAGGAGGAGGAGGAGGACGGGAGGAGGAGGAGGAGAGGCAGGGGCGGGAGGAAACGGAGGAAAAGGAGGTGTTGAGGCGGAGGGAGGTGATGACGAGGTTGAGGAGAGGGACGAAAAGGAGGTTGAGAGGGATGATGACAGACCAGTGAAAACCCAAGACGAGTCAACGATGTTGGAATAAACCCTCCCTCAAAGTTCTCTCTTCATTCAGGCGATCGCAAACATGGATCAAGGGGGCGTGGATTGGCGACGGGCCCCGATTCCATAGGAAATCGCGGATTTCCGCCGCCGAGCGAGGCGGCGCCGGCCGCATTTTGGGGAGGGCACCTCCCCCGATCCATGGATTTGGCGACCGCGCGCCAAGTCCATGGATCGCTAATCCATGTGTTGCGCCCCCCCGACTCATAGGTTCCTGTAGAAAGTGCGTTCATTGCGGGAAATGCCCCACTGGAAGACAACCCGCTGAGAATCGTGCCAGAGAAGTCCTAAGACTTCGGCGCCGCGAATCGACGCGACTGTTGCGTCCTGACAATCCTAAACTGGGCCAGAACACCGTTCCTGGGACTTTGTACCGCTAATCGACGTGACTGCTGCGTCCTGACAATCCGAAATCGCGCCAGAGCACCATTCCCAGAACGTCAAGCATACGAATCGCTGAACAAACTGGTGCAAACTTGTGAAACGAATGTGCGCGGCACTAAAGCAAAGCGATAGTCACATTTTTGAGTGGAGCCGCCCTCCAATCTTGAAGCTGCTACAAACTTTAAGACGTATGTGCGCGGCGCTGAGGCGAGAGCGACATTTTGAAGAGGACCCGAACTGTTGTCAAGTTTTACGACGAATGTGCGCGGCGTTAAAACGATAGCCGCATGTTGAAAAGGACCCGCCTTCCATTGAAGTTGTGTCAACTCTCAAGTTTCAGGATCGCATGTGGTGGGAAAGTCTCAGGCGAAGCGCCCGGCACGCCCTTCCGACATGTCTGGTGGTGCGACACGGACAATCGCCGAGCGCGTTCCACTACTCGCAAAGTGCCTGCTCGCAAACGTCAAAAAAAAATTGTCTGCTTTGACGTAAGGGATCGTAGATCTTCCGCGGGGGATCCAGGCCATTTGCGAGCAGTTGCTTTGCGAGTAGTGGAACGCGCTCGTCTAGAGAAGTACGAATAAAGAACAGGGGTTGAGTATGAAGTGGACAAGGCGTGAGGAGAAGGATCGGGAGCGGGAAGAAGAGGAGGAGGCATGGGGAAGGAGACGGTTCCAACCCTGCTCCAAAATACTGCTGCAGGAGCCATCCAAGGAGGGCGCTTCTGCACTCGGAAGACAACCCCTTTTCTATAATTGCTCAATACGAGTAATTACTACTCCCCTTTCTTCCAGGATCCTGCTTAGTGTGTAAGATTTCTCAGGGCGGTCTTTAATATTGCATTTTCAATCGGAACATTTCCGGTGTTTCGAAATGGTGTTCACGCTGCAGCGTTAGTTTCGTTTTGGGACCGACGTTTTGCTCTCGTCGTTCCAAAAGACGTTCTCGCCCCATCGTGGGCCACAATTCTGGATCCAAGCACTTAATCGTCGTTGTCGCCCCGCTCCTTTCCCCTTCTTCGTTCATCCTCATGCTCTTCTTCCTGCTCATCCCCTTGCTCTTTTGCCACCTCTTCGTCCTCCACTGCGCACAGCTCCCATTTTCTGCCTGCGCGCAACACGATGGGGTCCTGGTGAGGGTTCCAGGGCCGCTAGAATAACACCAGACGGCGGACAGAGAAGCGTCAGCGCAGTAGGAAGGGATTGGGTGGGAGGGGTCGGATGTCAGACATGGTGCCAGCGCATCGAGCTTGCCCTGCCTCTCTCTCCGCGCCCCTTCCTCGAGCCCCTCCTGCTCGCTCATCCCCCCTCCTCCTTCTCAGGGAGGCATGGATGTCAATCTGCACCAGAAAGGTGGCCAGGGACGCACGATGACAGTAGTTCACGTGGTCGTTATTGTTTCGGGCATAGTTCTCTTCGCAGCGAGGCGCTGGCTGAATGCGTGCTTGTGCTCAGGGTGGCTTCGTAGAACCCAGTACTCGCCAGCGTGCCTTCCCATCTCCCCCTTTTCTTTCGAGCGAGCCCTTGCTTAGCCAGCCCAGCGCAGTTCCCCGCAAGCGTCCGTCGTGCCCCACCCCCTCCCCCGACGACCCCCTTGCCCTCGGAGCCAGTCGTACAACCCTGGAGAGTCACCAGATGTGGTCCCAGCAGAATCAAAAAAGAACAAATTGCCTGCTGGGCCCCCCTCCCTGGCGCGCGGAGCGCCCCCAGGGGCGGCGCCGGAGGCGCCGCTAGGGGGGCCCCAGTGCCGATACAAGAAATCCGCGCTGAACTCCGACAGGTTTTGTTTATGCTGTTTCTCGACGGCGAGCCTCGGGGGGAAAGTGAGAAGGGGCGGGCCTTCTCAGAAGGCTCGGAAGCCCCCCAGCCTTCTGAGAAGGTTGCTAAGCCTTCTGCGACGACACAGAAAACCTTTAAGGAGGCCGGGGGCCTTCTGAGAGGCCCCGCCGCCTTCTGAGAAGGCCGTTTCCTTCTCACTTCCCCCCCTCGTTCGCCGCCGAGATTCCTTCCTCTTCAGAAGGTGCTTTGCGCAGCTTCTGCCCGAGCGGCCCTTCGCCACAGGCAGGGGCTGCGAGCCCCTCCCGCGCCCACCCGCGCCTGCCGCCGCGCCCGGCGCACACCTCTGGGCCCCTCTTGCCGCTGCGCCGCCTCGAGCCTCCCCTGGCGGCCACGGATCCGCCATGGGACGCGGGCGGAAACACCCAGGGCGGTCGCTCGACCCCGCAAGTGTCGCCATGTCGGGCCGAACGAAAGGGCGGGGGGGGCGGGGAGAGGGAGGGGCACGACATCTGCTGCAGGCAGCTGGCCTCGGCCCCGCCGCCAGGCCCCTTCCCAGATGCGTGGGCGCCTCCAGCGCCGAGAGGTGCCGGGGAAATCAGCTGCGTGAGCTGCTTCGCCAACCCCCCCCCTTTGCTGTCCCCCCCCCCCCTTTCACGTTGGGCCCCGGTTGAACTCCCCCGATGAGTGATCGTTGGTGGTCCCCAAACGTGGTGGTGAGAACACCCGGTGGTGAGTTTGGGGCGATTTGGGTAATGGTTTTCGAGCGCTGGCTGGCCCAGGAAACGCAAAACCTCGTGGCGACCGCGTGTCCCCAAACCCGGTGGCGACCCAGAATTATTTTGGGGGGAATCGGGGTCACCACCAGGTGTCTCACCACCTGGTTTGGAGACCACCAAGATCGGTTCCCTCTCCCCTTTTCCCTCCGTGACCCTCTCGTCTTCGTGTTCCCCCAGTTGCCGTGGATGTCCAACATCCGCCGCGGGACGCGGGCGGACGCGCCCAGGGCGGTCGCTCGGCCCCGCCGGTTCCGTCCTCGCGGCAGGTGGGGGGGCCATCCGGCGGTCGAAGATCTCTCGACGAGCGCGTTCCACGTACTCGCAAGGTACTCCAGATTTCGTAATAAAGGGAGGGGGGTCTCCTTTCGGGGGGGGTCGCTTCCAGGCTATCTTGGAGGGCCTGGGTGGTCTGGGGACGATGTTTTGGAGGGTTCTCCCACGGGGGAGGTCTGAAATGGCTTGTCTTGGAGGGTCCAGACCCCCTCCCTTTTATTACGAAATCTGGAGTAGCTGCTCGCAAGTGGCCTGGATCCCCCGCGCGGAATCTGCCACATACATTCTACCAGGGCAGACAGGTGTTTGTTCGGACGTTTGCGAGCAGGTACTTTGCGAGTAGTGGAATGTGCTCGGCGAATGCCGAAGGGAAGCATCCCGGAAGAACTCCTTCGGGATCCGCTCCCCGCGGGGAGCGCGCCGCCGCCGCCGAGGACGAACTCGCGCCGGCGGGCACGCAGCGGGCCACGATGCACATCAACTGCCAGCGCCCCCTGCGCCGCGGGGGCCGCGGCCACGGCGGCCGACGACGAGGACGACGACGACGACGACGACGACGACGACGACGACGACGACGACGACGGTGACGACGAGAGCAGCGTTGAGAGCATCAGTCGCTATGAAGAAAAGGCGTCCTGAGGGACAGTGTCCAGAGGATTTTAGAAGATATGTTCGGGCTCATGGGGCCCTCCACGGACCCTGGCCCGGGACTGCCAAAAAACAAATTAGGATGAAAAGCTTGTCCTGGGCAAAGCCTGCGGGGTTCAGAACACGTTTCCCTCATGACCTGTTTCCTTGCATGCCGAAACAGTGGTGGAGCGAGTTTCGCGGTCTTCCCTCTGTCAGGACGGTACAAACATAAATTGTCAGAGGTTCCCGCGGATTTCTTAGCTCGCCAGGGAGGAGGGTCCAACACCGCCCAAGAAATCCGCGCGGACCTCCCACAATTGATGTGCATGCAGCGTTTTTTTCCTCCACTGCCTTCGCACGTCAGAGGAGGAGGAGGAGGAGGAGGAGGAGGAGGAGGAGGACCAGAGGAAGCCAAATATGCATCAGCGATGCTGCAAAACACCCTCCCGTCCCAAGTCACCTCCTCATGCGCACCTGCAGGTGTTCCTTTCCACTGCAGGCACCGCCCGCGACAAGAAGACCAGCGCAGCTGTTGGGCCCGACACGTTGGTGATGGCCCCGCTCGGAGAAGACTCGCCTCGCACCGCCCTGGCGCGTGAGCAGGGAGGAGGAGGACGAGGACGAGGACGAGGAGGAGGAGGAGGAGGAGGAGGAGGAGGAGGAGGAGGAGGAGGAGGGAGGAGGAGGAGGAGGAGGAGGAGAGGAACGCAGAGGAGCATGACCCTACACTTCGGCGGGGCGTCCAGCGCGACCCGTGTTCCGACAGAGGGCCGCCCCCCGTCCGTGCCATTGTTTTGCGCAGGTGTATACACCGGATCTCGTAAGAAAAGGGAGGGGGTCTGGACCCTCCAAGACAAGCCACTTCAGACCCCCCCCCCGTGGGAGAACCCTCCAAAGCATCGTCCCCAGACCCCCCCAGGCCCTCCAAGATAGCCTGGAGGAGACCCCCCCCCCGAAAGGAGACCCCCCTCCCTTTATTACGAGATCTGGAGTACACTTGAGGTCAGGAGCTCTGGGGCAGCGGCCGCTCTATATTGCGAAGGCCTTACGGCGGGCACCGCCGACCCCCTGCAGACGGGGACGACGAGCAGGACAAGGACGCTGAGGAGCAGG